TGTTCAGCCTCGACCTTCAGGTGACGGCGTCCTCAGACCCCTGGCGAGGGACTCCTGACTCGGACGCCTCCTCCGGGGCTGTGGGCGAAGAGAGCCAGCAGCCGGGACAGCGGTTCCCACCGCCACCCCGAGCGGGAGGGGACCGCGAGCGCTCCAGGACACGTTGACTCACCTGCCTCCAGCGCAGCTGTTGCCAGGCAACGCGGAGGCGGGGTCTAGGGGTGGTGTGGGCGCTGACGCATCCAGTGCTGGGGTATTTATCCCAAGCTGGGCCTTTCCTGTTCACCACCTGGTCCCGATGGCTGGCATGCCTCCCACCCTTCTGCACACCGCCACCAAATCAATGCTTTGTTTCTGAGCCCTCCGACACCCTTCAATCCCTGAGTCATGTCTTCATGGAGTAATAATAAAATCCCTGGGAGAGAACCCTTCAGAGGAGAAGTTCTTAACTAAGAGCCCATAGTCCAGTGATGGCGAACCTTTTGAGCTCGCGTGTCAGCATTTTGAAAAACCCTAACTTAACTCTGGTGCCGTGTCACATATAGAAATTTTTTGATATTTGCAACCATTAGTAAAACAAAGACTTACATTTTTGATATTTATTTTATATATTTAAATGCCATTTAACAAAGAAAAATCAACCAAAAAAATGAGTTCAGAGGTGACACGCGTGTCATAGATTCGCCATCACTGCCGGCATAGTCTGTATTTGGATGGATTTTACCGGGTACCTAGTCCCCAAGTCCCAATTGTACACATAATTTTTGTTGTATGTGTACAATTTGGGGGAAGAGGGTGTGTGCGGAGTTAAGGACCAGAGCTTTCATCAGATTCCCAAATGACTCTTCACCCCCATCTTAAAAACGCAGGGCACTAGGAGACAGAAGATCTGGCTTTAGGTAGGAAACCCAGATAGTTGGGTTCCTTGGTGTTTAGGTTAAGAAAATGTTTACTAGGAGCTGCCAGGATCATGGGATAAACATTTGATGTTACTGCCAAATAAGCTTATATACAAATGGTCACAGAGATATTCTGATAAGATTTGGAGAAAAGAAAAAAAGATGTTTTTAAGGACGCAATGTTAAACTGGGATAGTTTAACATCTGTAGTGCTCAATTAATACTTAATAAAAGTGCTATACTCCCCGTAGCCTATGTGTTTTGTGGTGTTTGTATATAAGATATTAATGTGTTAAATATAAAATATTTTAAAACATCTCACAATTTTTGTAACTATGTTTTGGTATTTCTTACTCTTTATTTTAATATCATGTGAGCCCTAAAACATGTCAATGGCCTAAGTCTCTGGATTTCTGAGAGGCCCTGGGATCTGCTGGTTAAATTAGTGTTCCACTCCTTTTTTAAATTTTAATATATTTTTTATTGATTTCAGAGGGAGAGAGAGATAGACACATCAATGATGAGAATCATTCATCGGCTGCCTCCTGCATGTCCACTACTGTGGGTCAAATAGGCAACCTGAGCATGTGGCTTGACCAGAATTGAACCCAGGACCCTTTAGTCCACAGGCGGATGCTCTATCCAATGAGCCAAACCAGCTAAGGCCCACTCTGTTTTCTTATTTTAACAATCCAAAATTCATGCTAGTTGATTACTATGCATAGCACTACCTATGCGTCTGTTGCTTTACAGCAAGAGGCCCTCTCTGCTTTCAAGTCCCCAGCTTATCAAAGCAAATCATTTTTCAAAGATGAATGTACTTTTTGTCCTATTCTGCTCCGTTCTTTACCTATGTTCTTCATACAGATTGAGAAGAAGTGAAATTCAGGGACTTGACTAGTATAAGGCATAATTTAAACTATAGTCAGTGGTCAACATTAACCAAGATACTCTGCTCTGATGAATATAATACCTAATCCTATCTAGTCAGAGCCACCCTCTGTCATCAGCCAGCAACCTGCTTGGTGGAGTAGGTGGTTATTCAAGAGTCGAGTGTCAAAAAGGAAAAACCCAAGGGAATCTGAAGGGAGATAATCTCAACATCTGAGGTTAATTCTGTGTCCACCAAACACTGATTTGATGTAAAAAGTTCTAACAGTATATCCATGATCCTCTACTAGGAAGACTATTTTCTTTCTGATAATGGACAAGACTGGTTGCCTTTTAGATGTTGCAAGATAAAATAACTTATATTAAGATAAAGTAAATACTACTAGTTGGTAGAAAAAGCTAGTCCCTCGATAGGTTTGTAGCAATCAGATGTCAATTTTACATAATATAAATCAGAACTTGCTTATTGGACTATTGGATGGATCATGGCCAAATTCCCCAATAAGTTTAGTTGGTATTCCTCCAGCAGGTTTATTTGGTATTCAGTCTTAAGATTGTTAGCTATTGGGCATTCTGGTATTTATAAGAGCTGGTGAATTTGTTACTGACAAAATCCAAATAGGATAAACTAAAATAGCTCATTAAAACTCAACTCTCTACTGAGTGCTTTTAATAAAAATAACAAAAGGGCATGGGTATCAGTACTGTCAAAAGCTGCAGGGATCAAAGGAACATCATTTTTACAGCTTTCTTGTACACTATTTATCATTGCAACACTTAAGAAAAGATATTTTAAGATGCTCTTTTAATGTTCAACAAATTAGACATTTATAATCTCAACAGACTTTTACTGAGAATGTTTACAACACAGATATTCTCAAACATGTTAAACTTAGCAAGGATTGCTTTTGAGAAAAGAAAACACACAAAATACCAATATGTTTTGTATTCCATGGCATTGCTTCTATGGAAAATAGTTGGTATTCTGTAAAAAGAGAAAAATTGAATTTAGATTCAAGTATAAATGAGTATGTAAATGTGTATATAATGTTCGTATATAGATGTTCCTATAAATATTTTGTCATGTATGATAAAACTGACACGAGGTATTTCTCAGCTTTTCTTCAGTTTATATATTTTTAGCTATCATTTAATCTTTCTAATCTCTCTTCACTGGAACATTTACTCTGTATGTCTGTATTTCCCCAAAATTTCCAGTATTTAACTATATAAAAGTGGTTTCCTAAAGCTCACTGATATCAACAAAGTTTATGAATAAAATAGTTCAAAAGTTGCAGTTGTTCCTCGTGTATTTATTTCCTTATGTATTTGCAGTTAAATCTTCCCGTTATATGTGTAACTACTTTATAAGTAAATATAAGTGTTCAGGACAAAGTTTAAGACTTCAGATAATCAGATGAGAAAAACAAAGAAAAAGTAATTATTGAACTGTTTTCTTATTGACAAAATAAAATGAAGTCCTGGGTGAATTAGTCTGTGTAAACCTGAATTTTGGAAGCAATCCAGATAAAGCTATTTTTCTCAGCTTCAGAGAGAATATTCTACTAAATTGATCAAATCATAGAATAAATTCTATTTCACATTTGTGAGCACGCTAATACTTACTTTGATGTTACAATCACAGATTTTTTCCATTAAGTATTAAACTATTTTTGTTCACATTATGTAAATGCCTCTACAATTGTAAAGTATTATGAAAGATAGTTTCTTTTCCATAACTCTTTGTTCTTATTTCCTTGAAAAAAGAAAAAGTAAGAATATGTTGGCTCATATTTCTGATAGGAACATAACAGGCCTTTGTTGAAATAGGAGTTAATGCCAGAAATAGTTTGAAAATCTAAGTTCCTAACTATGCCCCTTGATCATGTTAAATTTTTCCTTTACTTTTATTATATTTATGTTTTATATTTTTCTTGTCCAACTGAATTGACTAATGCATAAGAACCACATTAAATAAAAGGTAACAGAGCATCCTTGCTTTATTCCTGACATTAATGAAAACGTTCCAAAGTGTTTTACTATCAAGCCTGTACTAACTTTGTTTGAAACCATTATATCTATAATGTGAAAATTCATCTCTTTCTTTTAATACATCAGAAATTGATGTGGAATTTTACCAAAAGCATCTATTGAGATAATCATATAATTTTCTTCTAATGGTGAAAATATTTTAATAGACTCTCTAGTGTCGAACCATCCTGAGTTGCTGGAACAAACTTCGGGTCATGAAATTCTTTAAATATACTGCTGAATAGGTTCACTAATATTTCTTCTAAATTTTGCATTAAAATTTATATATAATTTTGACCTTCAGTTTCCTTTTTTAAAAAAAACAAAAAACAAATCTTTATTGTTGAATGTATTACATATGTCCCCTTATTTCTCCCATTAACCCGCCCCCCACCCCAGCAGTTCACCACCCACAGTTTCCTTTTTTATACTACTTTTGTAAGATTTGGGTTTCTAAATTTTGCATTAAAATTTATATATAATTTTGACCTTCAGTTTCCTTTTTAAAAAAAAAAACAAAAAACAAATCTTTATTGTTGAATGTATTACATATGTCCCCTTATTTCTCCCATTAACCCGCCCCCCACCCCAGGCCTTCACCACCCACAGTTTCCTTTTTTATACTACTTTTGTAAGATTTGGGTATAAGCTTCATTTAAAAAAATATGGTTGAATTTACAAAAAATATTTTGAGATTTTTCTTTCTTCTCTGAGCTGGAAAAATTCAAAATCTGCTGGCCTTGGACTTTTTGAAGGGAGAGTTTCTGGATAATGTTTTGAATTTTTTTCCATGGCTATTAGTCTGTTTAGATTTTTTTCTTTCTTCTAAAGTGAATTTTGGTAACACCTACTGTACTGACAACCCTTTATTTTATGTAGGTTTCTAAATAGATAGGCACAGAGATTTGTCAAGTACTCTTTTATAATATCCATTTCTTCCATATCTGTTTTAATTTTTCTCTTTTCACTTGTAGTTTTGTATATTTATGGTTTCTCCATCTTTCTTAATTAGGCTAGGCTAATTAAACTAGCTTTATTTTTGAAAATAATCAGATAATTTGCTTTATTAACCTATTCTTCCACTTTACACTTTATTAATTTGATCTTTCATTTATAGTTTTATTTAGTTTGCTTTCTTAAGGTTCAACTTGTTCTTTTTTAACTTATTGAGTTAAATCCTTAATTCACTCATTCTTTCTTGCTTGAGAGTGTTTAAAGTCTTGAATTTTCCACCAAATATGGCTTTGGCAAAGTCCCATAAGTTTTAATATTCATTGTTTTCATTATCTTTATTTTCTAAATATTGTATAATTTGTGCATTTTTATTTGGGGGATTTTTTTGAGAAAATATTAAAAATTTTAGCACTTTACAGGTAAATATGTGTTAAGGGTTGAAATAAATGATATGGATGAAATATTTGCAAAAATATGTTCAGCATAGAATCTGCATTTAGGATTACATAAAGTAGTAGTAGAACATACTTTTATTTCTGTGGTATAAATTTATCAATCTGCATTTGGGTTGATTTCAAAAGTCATAGCATAATAAGACATTAGGATTACCATATTTATTAAACAGGTAGGGCAATTCAATAGCCTCTATCTCCAGCATTGGAGTGGGAACTGGGAGTCCCAAAGTAAAAGTCATGCTTTCATGTCTTTCACATTTTGTTTTTCTGTAGAAAAACTATACTTGAAAAATAAAAATGATTTAAAAAAGAATCTTTGAATATGAATCATTTGGACAACAGAAGTACATTTATTCTGTAAGTTCTGACCATTACATTGAATAATAATTGCCAAAATAAGAACACAATCTCTTACATGTACTTGCACAACAAATGTCGGTGAGGTCACTGTCTACAAAATCAATGATAATGAATATTGTGGCACAGCCTGAGGAATACACGACATGGTAGAAGCAAATTTGGCCCTAAAATACTGACATTTTCCACCATATAGCCCTCACAGATCCTATAATGACAGTACGTATATAGGAATATTAATGTATACATGCAATCAAATAATAGAAATATATTGCAAATAGTTTCATTTGTGGGTATCTGAAAACAACCGAAATTTTCCAACTGGGTTGAATTGTGAAACACATACCATTTTAAATGTAATCTTCTGATCTTTTTCCATTGCGTGGCTAGAAAATAACAAATTAGCAATAAATCAGTGTAACTAAGGAAGGAAGCTAATTTTAATAGAAAGCAGCCTAATAATGATCTTGATGCATGATATTATTTTTTCCTCTATGTAGTCTTGTTCTTTCCTTCAATTAATTCTCCAATTGGTTGTTAGAATTCGTTCTCAAAATGCAAATTTTACCATATGGTTCCCCTTATTTCTACATTAAAGTTGAAATTCCTTAGCTAAATATTTCATTGGCTAATTTCCATTAATTCTTCAAACTCAGCCCTTAAAGCCTCTCTGGATCTCCTTCACTCCACAGCCTGGTTGCATGCTTTTCTTTTAGAACCATAGCCCCTGGATTGAAGGTGCATTTAATATAGTATTTTGTATGTACTTATTTATCAATTTCCTATATTAGGCTGTAAACTCCTAGAGATAAGAATATAATCCTACCTGGCTTTATATTCTTAGCCTTTGATAAATTGTCCAGCACCCAATAGATATTCAATAATTAGCTGCTGAATGAATGAATGAACATTTTCTGGTAATGCATTAGGGATACAAACATTTTAGAAAGTACAGCTGCTGAGGAAGAAACTCATACTTAATAGACAATTTGGGCATACAAAATACTAACTACAATGACAAAGATTTGTCTATTTATACGCTCTAATGTAGTTGATTCTTTTACTTTTAAAAGTGGATGAGAATAGTCATAACTCTCCCAATCTACGGAATAAAACATTTAGTAAATGAGTCCTTAGAACTTAAGGAGTAATACATCTTTAAGACACTCATTTCCTGCCCATGAAATTTTATGGAACTAAACTGAGCAATAGGTGAATGACACCTGGAGTATTTACAAACATGAGTAGTGGATTAGAGGCCACACATGCCATAGTCTTAAAGCAATAAATAAGTTGGTAAAAGAAGTAAACCTCAGACTATGACACTGGATGTCAAATATCTATAAATAAACTTTAAAACTCAAATAAAACTTATGAGTTAATGCAAATAAATGCACAGTGAGATGATGTCAAATATCTATAAATAAACTTTAAAACTCAAAACTTATGAGTTAATGCAAATAAATGCACAGTGAGAGTATTTTTCAATTTTGATATTAGTTGATTTTTTAAAAAAATACAATACATGCATACCCTGAATAAAAAGTATCTTCGATTATGGCTTGCAATAGGACCTTGAAATTCTCCCTGGAAGACAAAATGAGGACATTCCAAATCAAATAACAGGAGAAATAAGTGCAAATTCCTCTTGAGAGTTTAGTGAAGCTCAAAGTTATTTACAACTATTATGATTAAACAAAGAGGGAATCAAGGACTTGAGTATATAATTTATAACAATAGTTAATCTTTCTATTTATACTTGAAGAATTTTCAACAACTAGCAGTACAACAGAATGATGTATTTTAAAATAATGTCCTTATTAATATAAAGATTCTATTTTCAGGAAGTTTGTCACAATGTATATTCATCAATAAGTAGAAAGAGAAATGACAGACACTTTATAATGAACTGTAATGAAAGTAAAATTTCCTTTCAGCATTTTGTTAGAACAAAATAATTTCTTTAACATACATATTGTATGTGCTAACACAACAACAAGGAAAAATATACAATAAAATTGTTAGGGCTGAAACACACAATATTGCTATAGGAATTTATATAGAAATTGAGGGTCAACTGTGGTAAACTATATTTATTCAATGAGACTTAAGAAGAGATTTTCTCAATATAATTCTTTTTATAAAAATGGCAATAAAAAATCAAATAGGAATAAACCAATTATTCATAATGGGTATATTGAGAAGTGTTTCTTTTCTAAAACATTTCTTTTTAAACTTAACGGGAAAAATATTTAACATTTTATGGCTTCCATAAAATTGGTTTTCATAGCTTCCTATTTTCATCAACTACTTACTATAAAAGTATCAGGATGGCATTCACTAGGAAATATGTCAACAAGACCTTTTTTAAATTATTCCATAATATAAGTAAATTCATATTTTTAAAATTCTATGAAATAGCTCTGACATCTATTAAAATTCTGAAATCCCTGCTTTACAACAAACATATCTTACACTTTCAATATTTATATCTAATTCTCATCTTGACTAAATCCACTCAAAATACTTAAAAGGTTGAATTTTTTCTACTTAAAAATGTACACATTGAAACTATACATTTATACTATTATATTTTTTACAAGGGCAAAATGTAACTTAAAATGTGCTAAAATTTAAAACTCTCAAATCCAAACATACAGGTTGTTTTAGTCTTATCATTGAAGAAAGAGCAGTATATAAAATAATTGGGAGGTAGGGGTAAAAGAGATATAGGGATGGAAGTGAGGATGTCTAGCAAACAAATTTTAAGAGAAGTGTTGGAATGTACTAGGATCTGAAAACTCATTTTCTTTAAGAACCCAAAATACTTCACTTAAAATATATGTTTTAAAATTAGGCGCCTTAGGCCCAGCAAAGCTAACACTACTGTAATTTTTTTTCTATGTATGTTTTACATTCTTTTCTTTCATAGGGTCCTAGGAAACTTGTCTTGCTGCAATATAGGGGTTATATTAGTCCAACAGAATATACTACCAAGTCACAGTTTATAGTTTTAGGTAGTTGTCTGGAAATATAGTCTGAAGTGATATTGTAAACTCACAATTTGTTGATATATTTTAAGAAACTGAATCCTTAAATTGAAATCTTACACTATTCATAAGTTAAGCAAGCTTCAGAGAGTAGAAGTTAATTTTTAAAAGCACCTCTTACTTCTAGAAAGCTTGATAACAACTGATTTGATTCTTTCCACACTGGAAATTCTGTAATTTTAAAGGCTATCACAGTTCCTTTTACATTTCTCTTTAAGCAGGTGGCAGCTGCTATCTTCCTTGATGGAAGCTAAGTTTAAGAAAGTGAAGAATTTAGTGAGGAAATAGTGACCATAAAACTAAATTTTGAGAAATGTATTTGCCTAAACTGTATGGATGTTTGAAAAGTATTTGAAGACTTTCAGTAGTACATTTAAGAATAAAATTAAGATGGCATTTAAGTTAAGGGAAAATATAAAATAAAATAATAGAAGTATCCAAGACTAGACTATAAAGGAAATGGCATAGTGAAAAGAAAAATATTTGCCAAGACTAGAAGTCAGAAGAATCTATTGGAATTTCTAATCTCACTTACTAGAATGATCTTGGGAAACACCTTTAACTGTTCCGAATTGTTTTCCCTTTAGTAAACTGAGGATAACAATACTTATATAAGTACCAACAGAGTTACCAAAAGAATTAGAGAAGACTAAAAACTATAATGCATTTTAACAATGTAAGGCATTACTTAAAAATAATACCTAGAAACTTTCATCATTGAAAGAGATAACATTCTTTTTAAATAACAATATAAACTCAATTTCTAGTTTAAAAAGCTGTTTAGCAAAGCTAGATTTATCTTAAACACAGATACGGATTTAGGGCCATTTTTTGTTAATTGTGGGAAAAACAAAACACACCTACAATTAGTTTCTGATATATTTATTTCTTGAGCCTAAAGTGTAACTTTTACTAACACTTTAGAAAGACTGCCATCCCAGTCAGTAGCCAACTTGTATACAGAGGGGCAGTAAATTGTATTTTTTTCTTTTTTCTGTTCCCCGTCTACTGACTAGCCACAGTGGATGTGTCCTTTCTTTTTTTAAAAATTGATGAGAGAGTGAGAGATCAATTTGTTGTTCCACTTATTTATGCATTCATTGGTTGATTCTTTTTTTAAAAAAATATATTTTATTGATTTTTTACAGAGAGGAAGGGAGAGGGAGAGAGAGTTAGAAACATCGATGAGAGAGAAACATCGATCAGCTGCCTCCTGCACACTCCCCACAGGGGATGTGCCCGCAACCAAGGTACATGCCCTTGACCTGAATCAAACCCGGGACCCTTGAGTCTGTAGGCTGATGCTCTATCCACTGAGCCAAACCGGTCAGGGCCATTGGTTGATTCTTATATGTGCCCTTACCTGGGACCAAACCCACAACCTTGGTATACCGGGAACACACGCTAACCAACTGAGCTACCTGGCCAGGGCGTGGCTGTGTCCTTCCTTAAACCCAGAATAGGCTTCCTCCTGGAACCAAACCCACAACCTTGGTAAACTGGGAACACACTAACCAACTGAGCTACCTGGCCAGGGCCTGGCTGTGTCCTTCCTTAAACCCAGAATAGGCTTCCTCACTGGGAGGGTCGTGATCATTGGAAGGGAATCTAACCCCAGCTTTCCTCCTGTACATAGCTTGAGACAGAAGGGCCATACTAGGGGGAAGGAAAATACCTGTTTTCTTTCGGAGTGTGAGAACGGTTAGGCAAACAGATGCTCTTAGGCTACCTGGGTGTTTCTGCGTGGCTTATCCTGAAGAAGAGTATCTTTATAAAACACCACACCTGGGAATTATCAGAAGGGCTGCCCCGCACAGAATGGCAAAGCAAGCATGCAGTTTGTGTTACATACGTTCAATTTGAATCTCTTCATTCTTCTCTCATGCAGTTGAGGAACGAGCTGCAGCAACGGATGCACGACAGACGACTGAGAGACACGAACACACACACAATGAGCACAAAGGCTTCTCAGCACTGGGCATAAAGACGGTCTCCTATTTGTCTGTTTTTACCCACTATACTAGCTTCAGACAAAACAGAACAAGAAAGATGTTATCTAAGACGGCCTTTGGTGAGCATTTCAAAGAACTGTGGAGGATACGCCAAGAGATGTAATAAAATTTGGTAGCTCTATGCTAGGATCTTTGCCATCATGTTGATGAAGCACTTTCCTGAAGGCTTCAGCCCATCATCATCTGCCAAGAAGTAGAACACCCGCCTGCATCTTTGACAAAGAGCAGCGTCTGCTTCCAGACTTACTCAATGATCTGGGGCAGATGAAAACAGCTCTGGGAGAATCAGTTTATGATCATGAAAATGTTTCTCTAGAAGGTTATGCTGTTCGCACATCTAGTAATCTCCTTTATAAATGATATAGTTTATTGAAAATTCAACATATGGAACAAGATGACAGGGGACACAAAAAATAACACAATGTGTTGTTGATAGCAAAAAATATGACTAAGATACATTTTCTCGAAATGTAAAGATGCCAAGCAGAAGGAAATGAAAGCACATCTGAGACATGTGGCTACCTGCTTCAGTCTTATTTTAAAAGCATGGCTTGCATTGAACCTTCTCACAAATATTAAAATCACTTATCAAATGGATTACTTTAAGCCCTATAGAAAGCTATCTGTTAACCAATTCAACTTGTATTTGGTTTTTAAAGCCAGTATAACCTAACTTTCAACTCCTAATTTGTAAGAATACTCAATGTGATAAACATTCAAAACTGAGTTTAAGATTACAGTTCCCTTTCCACAGGTATATACATGTTTAAAATACACGATGCTCCTCACTCCCTAAATTGGTCCATAGTTGTGAGTCACAAGCTTAGAAAGAATATTACAGTCAAATTATTATTAAGTATTCTAACTGAAACGCCAAAGTAGGTTCATTAGCATTTTTAAAATCCATGCATAAAAAGAAAAACCACCACTAAACCACAAAACTTAGAAGTGAACTGAATTCAAGTTATTGGTATCTGGCAAATCTTAGTAAATTCTCACTCTAAATGTCTAATTACAAATAAGGAGGTATTAGGAATAGAAGTAGATATATCTAGTTATATTGAATTATATTTGACAATTATCTTTTAATATCCTCAAAATGCCTTTGAATAAAACTATTTCTCCCATATACTAATCACCATCTAAAATAATATGTTTTACTTGGTTTTGCCTTTAGAATGTAAGTTCCGTGATAACAGCAATTTCTTTTTTAATTTTACTTACTGCTTTATTTCTAGTACATAGAATTGTGATTAGCACATAGCAGATACTCAGTAAATAATTGTTGGCTGACTGAATGAATGATTTTAATATATATGCAATTATTGAGATATAAAATAAATTAAATGTATAAAAAATATTGAATGCTGTTTGTTCAGGTATGTATAAACTTTTAAAGTAAAATAAATGAATTTTGCTCTAGTTCTATTAAATAAACTGCAAAAACAGGTTTAGAAAAAAATACCAATGATTACTAGTAAGAAGTAATTCTACTTACCACAACATTTGAGTTGCCCAACTTCCCTGTCTTCGAATAATGAAATAAGAACTGTTAAAAAATAAGTAGTGAAAAAGGAGACATATGTAATACTCTTTGTAATACTTTAAGCAATAAAACAATTTAAAAAAAGAAAAAAAATAAGTAGTGAGCTTTACTATAGATGATTAGTGCTTTCCTTTATTATTTTTTAATGTATATATTTATGGAAATCACCTTACCCTTTTGTTATTAACTTTTTCATCTGTTTTCTGTTGAAAAAATATATACAAATATCATTATATCATGCATAACATAAAATTATAATATGTTATATATAATATATTATATAGTATAAAATTTGTAATATAAAATTGTCACATACGTTTTAAAACATGACAAGTTACATAAAAATATAAGACTTAAATTGATTAAACATATATTGCTCTAAAAATAAATGAGAAATTAAAGATTGTTCATAAATAAAGTGTACAAGATCTTTACTACAGCATTATTCATAAGAGTAAAAAATTGGAAACATCCTGCAAGTTCAACATTGGGAAGGATATGATTATGTCTAAAATATTCAGTGAAACAGACAAGAAGGAGTCACATGAAAATACTTGTAGTTGTTATCACCAAGTAATAAGATTATGTTATTTTTGCTTTCTTCCACAAACTTTTCTATATTCCTCTTTCCCTCCACAAATCTGTTTCTAAGAATGAATCATATCATTCCTTTTTGTTGTTGTTATTTTTTGTCCTCATTTGCTTTTAATATAAAAGAAAACTCATGGATAAATACCATTGTCATTTATTTTAATTAGAAGAAAAAAATTTGGAAAATGACCATTAAAAACACTGGAAACAAATCCAGTCATAAACACTTAGTTTCAGTAAATATTTATGTTTTCAAAATATCAAGGTTTCTTTGATTTATTGTATGTGAAAGGCATGACAGTCAGCATGTACCAATGATCGTGGTTAAATTAATTATGAAAAATATAATTCTAAACTTGAGGTGTTATCCTTAATAAGATAGTTTTAAAATAAGCGCATCTGTAAGATATAGAATATAAAAAAAGGTTTGGTACATTATGCTATTTTTCAATTTCCCACCTATTCTCATTTCAGGACTAAAAGTTCTCCCAGAAGAATCAAGTAATTTTAATAAGAAACCAAGACAGTAAGAATATAATTTTCAAACTGACATTGACAATATAGTTTGATTTTTTTTTACATTGTTAACATCTTTCTCTCTAACAAAGATTCATCTGCTCTCCAATTGTAATGTGAGTCAGGAGAGAAAAGAAGCCAAATGACCCCACATTTCTCTCATCAGAGGTAGAACACATACTTGAGGGGACATATAACTTTTCAATCCATGACTGTAAACTTCATTGATAAGACCTTAAATCCTCAGACATCAGAGAAATTGAAGTATTTGTTTCTCATCCAAAACCAGCTTATTGTCTTCAAGCTCCTCTTGCTTGTTTCCTACATAGGGTATTTTCTTCTAGTAGGAATTCCAAAGTATCACTGAGCAATTTTTTGCCTACAAACAAAATACTATTTCAACCTTACCTGGGGCTTTGGTAGATTCCCCATAATTGTGAAGCAAAGCTCCTCCAATGCATCGGATGCCTAATGGAAATGAGAAGGTACACAGGCTATGCTTCTATTTTAACAACATTTGCATAGAAGATATAACTGCAGAATATTGGGAGCCAAGGATATTCCAGCTACCCAGAATAGAATCCTTCTGGTGGCCCATTGAAACTCTGTTGGAATCCCTTGATTTTTCTCACGACAAAAACTTGGCTCTTAAACATAAAACCTTCCTTCCAATTAGAAAAAAGGAATTATGGCCCTAACCAGTTTGGCTCAGTGGATAGAGCGTCGGCCTGCAGACTGAAGGGTCCCAGGTTCGACACTGGTCAAGGGCATGTACCTTGGCTGTGGGCACATCCCCAGTAGGGGGTGTGCAGGAGGCAGCTGATCGATGTTTCTCACTCATTGATGTTTCTAACTCTCTACCCTTCTCCCTTCCTCTCTGTAAAAAATCAATAAAATATATTTTTTTAAAAAAAGAAAAAAAGGAATTATGTACAGTATATATGCACTGATTAAGGCTTCCACTGTGGTCCAGATACATAGTCCTCAGTACTTGCTAAGATTTCATGGAGTTCTATGACTGACAGTAATGAAGGCAGTGCCAAAAGAGAAAGTATGGCTCCCGATTTGTAGCAAAGTCTGAATCTACAGGCCAAAGCTGTGAGCCTCGCTGAATATTACTCATTATTGGCTAATTTGGAAGTCCTTCAATTGCTCGAAAACAATGGGAGTTGGAGGGGAAGGAGCGGTCAATGGGGCACCTAACCTGAGTTACCACCCTTCCAGGCTGCTGACTGCACACCCCAGGATCAGGTTTTTCAAAGCATCTGAGTACACAAGTAGGGCAGGGCTCCCTGTGGTTAGCAGCCAGCTGGGTGTGGTGAGGAGTAGCACAAATGGACAAGCAGAGGCGAAACCTGCTTTGCACAGAATTTAGCACAGTAGTACCATAAACAATTGATTACTTAATAAAAATGCACATTGGAAATAATGAGGATCTGGAACCAGGGGGGTGATATAATTAGTGGTTAAAAACAGGGGCTATGGAGTTGAGCAGCCTGCAGCTCTATAGCAATACAAATTCCATTTCTACTCTTTGTTATCTGTGTTACTTTGGGCTGGCTACCTAACCTCTCTAAGCTTCAGTTTCTTCAGCCATAAATCAGGGATGACAACATCACTGCAGAGAGTTCTTGGAAGGATTAAATGTCAGTAAAGCTCTTAGTACGGTGCCAGGTATCTAGCAATTAGTTAACAATGGCAGCATTAAAAAAAAGATGTGAAGCTTGATTTTCAGCTGCATTTACTCATAATTTAGAAGACATGTCAAAAGGGTTGTTTGGGGCCACCAATATCCTCAACTTTTGAACAACAGTGAATGGGTAATATGGTTGGTTTTAGTGAGGGATATAGTTGTAATCATGAAACAGCTTCTCTGAGCATCCTTCCTAGCATCAGAGGTCTGTTCTCTTCCATTTGTTTGTCTTCCATGCAAATTGTTGGGATAATTATGAATGATCTTAAATGGCTCATGTTTGTATAGTGCTTCAATAAATTATAAAACACTTTCACATATATAATTCTTATTCTGTCCTTATAATCCAGCTGTGAGGTATATAAGACAGGAAGTGTTAGTCTCACGTGTAGAAGTAAGGTTCTAAGAGACGGTCACATGCCCCAAACCACACATGGCTAGTAGTTGATAGAGTGTGGCCTGGGGACTAAGTCTTCTGACCTTCAGATATTCCCATGTTGCACTAGTATTGACTGTTACACCTATGGTTGGGAGTTGGATGAGAGGAAAAATAGTGTGAACACTGAGACATCCTTTCTCATTTTTTCTCTTCAGGGATGGGGACACAGGTCCCCCCTAAAAATCTGGAAATAAATCCCTGGAAGTTCTTTTTATGGCCCATCTAGAAATGCTACAAAATATAAAACAATGACAAAACTGTCCAGTAATGTCATTTGTCAAAGACGTATCTCTTAATTTAAAGAAGAATAAATTCTGACACATGAGTGTTTCCTTAGAAAACATATTCTAAGCTGGATTAGGCTTTGCAACAAGATTGAAGTTTGACAGAAAAAGTTTCAAAACAAATTACGTTTTCTCCAGCAACTCTTTATGCAAAACTATTATTTAATGAGCTACAATATTCTCTAAGGATCTATTTTAGACTAAATTTTTAATATTTTATTGTTTTATGTGTGGGCCTTAAAGATCCTTTATTTCCTATTTGGTTAAAATGTTTTAAAAAACTATTCAGATAATCACATAAAAATAAGATAATAGCTAATGTGAAAATTAATGATTTTTAAAAATTGTATAGTAAAAGATTCCATAGTAAATTAACCAACCTCTCCTCAAAATGTACTCGCTATCCAAATCCAACAAAAGCCTAGTTTAACTTGATGGTGTTTAGATGAGTGCTTTAAAATTTGTCTTTTTACTACTGCAGAAATAAAAGTGATTCTGAGGGTGTTCCTGAATTTTAAATTGTATGCTATATCCATCATGTTTTATATATCTACTAGTGGCCTGATGCACAAAATTCATGCACTGGGGGGGGGGG